CTATGAGACCTTGTTTTCCTTTTTATTAGGTCAGTTTTTGTTTGTTTTTTTTTTTACGAAAATTTTCCAATGAAGGTAGGAGGAAGGAAAACAAAAATAAAAATTGTGCCGTCAGTTACTAGCATGCATGTAACTTAGGTGTCTGAAACCCCTTGACCGCGACATTCTCGTCTTCACTCAGTGTTCGGCCTATAAAATCACCAGTGGTTTCAACCTTATTAATTTTTTTTGTATTGGATGTCTGAATGTCTCACAATAACCAAGTTTTTCTTATAGATCCATACCGCCATTTTGCACTCGACTCGCGAGATGCACTATTTTTTCATCCGCTCCGCACAGTGAAAAATACCGTAATTGATCGTTGTTGTTTTTAATTTGCGAAATAGCATTATAAAAATATGCGAGCGATTTTGTGGCATACGTGTGTACATAAGAATAGCACACGTTTCTCGAAGTATTACAATATATGTGCTGCCGCAACGTTCCATCATGTTAGCGTACTACTTCGCGATTCGATACGAGCAAAATACTACCTCGGAAATTAAAGAAAGAAAGGGAAATCAGATTTTTTTTCTTTCCCGGAAACATTAAATCCCGCATCGAAAATGTTTTAAAAAAAGGATTGAAATGCAAATTATATACATTTTTGGAAATCAAAATTTTTAAGTAGGTGGGATTGTAAAACGGGGAAAAAATTGTGGCCTTAGCTATATTTTTGTGCGCCAGCAATATCAAGCGTGGAGCGAGCGCGCGTATACCCGATTCGATTTTATTACTCACCAGAATCTCTACCAGACTACCCTCAAATTGAAATTATTTCGGGTAGGATTAGAGTAAATCAACCTATGAGACCATGGGCGTGGACAAATACATCAATCGAAATGGTTTGACCTCCCAGTCCTAAAATGCAATTAGATCTCAAATCGGTCAAGAATGATAGAGCTATGAGCTAAAAGTTTGTATTTGAAAAAAAAACAAACTCAGCCATTCTATGAGCCACTATTCCGCGGCTAAAAATCAGGATGTAATTTACATATTTACAAGTGAAAAAAAAAGTTCCAATTTCTGGAACTTGGCCGCTACAGAAAAATGTTTCATAGCATCCCCTCCCCCTCTTAACTAGTTCCTTTTTCGGCACGTTTAATACAAAGAGTATTTGCAGTCGCGCACTTCAATCTGACGAATATATGTACGTGCTGACTATGATTGTTTTTTACTGATGTCGCTCTTTGTGTAAGCTTTGCGAATTTGTTGTTTGAGCACCAATTTGAAGTGCTAGCTACTACTATGAACCTGCAATATGGTACGACTAAAACTGTAGGAATGTTTTATTGCCGATTAAAGCGAATATTTCACTCCCTTAACTACATGCATTTTGTGCGATATATTATTCGTAACAAGGTAGTTTATGTAGGTTGTAAGTCCAGTGTTTGTGATCCCAATGGTTTCCCTTTACTGTGGTATGCAATGCAAATTTAGATCGTGACACGACGGCCAAAGAGAAAACGAAGGGCGGCCATTGTGGCCGTGGATTTTAATGATTTTCGAAGGCACCATGGCCATTTTGAAAAAAATTGCCGCCGTGAATTTCCTGCCCTGATACGAGTAAACTTAATTAATCCTAATAATGATACTATTTCTTCCTGCTGAGACTGATCCTTATTTGCATTTTATTTTCTTGGTATTTTTAATTCACACTTAAGCTCATATATATATATATATACACTTTTGATACTAAAAGACATACTTGGTAGTCTCCTGTGCGATTATAATGATCTTTTGTGTCTTCTTGGCTGGTGACATCAGAGATGTGACTTGGGTGATTCAATCCACCAGTTTCTGCTGGAGGTGATGAAGTGGATGTACTGCTTGATGAGATATTTGGAGGTGCCATGGTCAATCCAACAACTTGCTGTCCATGACTAAGTGTAACAGGAGCATAAGCAGGATATGTTGATGCACCTCCAGCTGGATGAAGCATGTTTTGAATTGATGGGTAGTTCTGGTTGGTGAATGTTTGTGTAGGAATAGGTTGTGCTGGATCAATCTCTGACAACAGAACTTGGCTTTGTTGGAGTTGTGTAACACTGCTTGTTTGCTGTGTTGACTGGACCCTTGCAACATTTCCATCTTGTGGAGTCTGATTTTGTGGTTGTTGATTATCTGTAATGTGTATTACAGTACTGCCTACTGGGTACTGAGCAGGGTGGTATCCCATAGGTGGTGCTGGAGTCATTGGGTGGGCAACAACAACAGCTGGATCCATGTGCGGTGCTATAAAGTTCAACATTTCTCTTGGTGATACACTTAAAAAATGTGAGAATTCAAAAGTTTTGATTTAAAGAATATAAAATACTTAAGGAGTATACTTCACAAAAAATTAGTCATTTTAAGTTTAATAAACACTGTAGAAAAAGATAAAAAAATACATTAGTTTGTTAAAACTTCCTTTAACAACTTTGATAAATAAACAGTCCACTTTTAAATGTATAAATGAACTGCAATAATAATACAATTTGTTCAAATAATGGGAACATATTTCTGATCTCTAATTTTGGTCCTACAATCGCTTCCTTTCACAAGAATATGAAATGGACTGTGTTGTACCGCTATGTCACATTCACACACTCCACTTGGTACTGGCTAATGTATCTGCATGTTTCTAACCACCACATGGTTAATCCAATATATCTAGGACATTACAATTCATACACAAGATTAGACATTGTTTTTACCTACTTAAAGCCTTACAGACAGCTCCTAGGTCAGTATGTGAATAAGCTCTGGGAAAGAGCATGTACAGTTGACTTTTTACACTTATTATACACTTGCCAGTATATAATATTATTACTGACAAAGACTGCTTAGAAACATTCCATTTCAACTTTTGATTGTTTACCCAAGTAATGTAAGTTATCAATCATGTTATTTAGAAAGCTGTTTTGTTCATATACGTTTCAGATGTTTTGAAACTCCTTATGAAGATATTCATACATACTAGCGATGTCATAAGTACAATGAATTAATACTTTAATCAAATTTGTTTAAAAAAATTCTAGAATGAAGTTGTCAAAATTCAAATACAAACCCATCATCATTTTTTGTGGTACACTTCACATCCAAATTTTCCACTGTTGTCGTGTATTAATGTGACAAAAAAAAGGCAAGCTGGTGTACTTGTTGATGTTCTGCTGTGAATTTTATAATATTATGTTGATTATTAAGACACTTCAAAAACTGATTAATATGTTCAGGATCACTAATTATGATGAACATATCATCAACATACCTCTGATAATATACACACTTGAAACTCAAAAGGATGATTTTGAGCCAGTGTTTTTATAGTAGCAAAGGAAAAAGGTGGTGTGCTACAGTGTTAATCTTGATGCCACTGCAGCTCCATCAGTTTGATCATATACGCATGTAAGTTGATGAATATTAAATATAGAAATCATTAAGCACAGCCAAAATGGCCATTAGGAACAAAAGTTCTTAATGAATATACTGTTGTAAACAAAGTTAATTCCTTACTGATCAATGAATGTTCAGGTCACTCCAAGTGAACACTTGCAAATAAAGTTTCACAATTTAATTAGAAAATATGATTGTACTCGTAATACAACAATTTTTCACTTACATACATTACAAAATTGATATCTTGGCATTATATAATGCTTAACTAGTTTATGTCATAAATAAAAATTCAAAAAATGTTCAAACTTTCTTTACTGTCATGTGTCTAATTGTCTGAACTATAAAGTATTCATTTCTAGATGTCTTTTATAGTTTTTTATTTTGCTGGCCCTTAAGCTTATGTTCATTTAATTCAATTTCAGTATTTTCAGTTAGCCTGAGGTTTCTTTGATGTTTCAATGTCTTCTGTTTATCCAACTATAAGTTTATTAGTTGAACTTATTACATTGCCCAGAGGAACCTGAAGAACCTTGATAGGTTCTCGACTTTAAAAAGGAATAGAGCCTAAAGCCAATAATCATCAAAAAGGGGAGATGCTAAGCTTTAACATTAAATTATTAAACATCCAATGTTTGATAATGGTAAGGCTGGGTCCAGTGAAGGGTTATGAAGCAACCTAAAGACATAGTTTTGAAATACTTCCAGAGGTTAGATGCTGCTACACACTAGCTGGTGGTGTAGAAGAAAGTAATGATTAACCTTTTGGTTTGTTTGCTCTCAATATTTTATGGTAAATCTTTCCTAAATATTGTAGCTAAAGCATTTTTTTTTTTTTACTTAACTAGATAAACATGTGCCATTGTTGGTTTTGGTTTATTAACTCATGTTTTAACATAAATGAATGCACAATTTCAATCATATAAAAGTGTTATACAAGTTTATTCAATAGTTTTCTATACCTCCACTTTAAACATTGTTCTAGCATTGACGAATACTTCCCAAATAATTGGTCTTGGAATTTTTTTAATTTTTTTATAGGTTCTGATAATGATCTTTTCATTTCTAATAACGTTCTTGTGTTATATTATGTCTGAGAATTACAGGATTATTCTTCTACAACGAGAAATTAGCCAACATTATTTTTGAATATAGCACAAACCATAACCTTGGCAAGTATGGTAGGGTGATATTTTGCTAACATTATTTTTGAATATAGCACAAACCATAACCTTGGCAAGTATGGTAGGGTGATATTTTGCTAACATTATTATTGGCTGTGGTCAATTTATATGTAATAATTACACTTTTTTTTTTCCAATAAATAAGAAGTTCTTGCATTTTTTATGCTGTTTGAACACAATAGACTTGACATTGTATTTAATTTTAAAAACTTTTGCTCAGGCTTTAGCTTATTGTACTTGCTAAACCTTAATATCCATACCAAAATATCATTCTACCATACTTGCCAAGGTTATGGTTTGTGCTATATTCAAAAATAATGTTGGCAAAATATCATTCTACCATACTTGCCAAGGTTATGGTTTGTGCTATATTCAAAAATAATGTTGGCAAAATATCATTCTACCATACTTGCCAAGGTTAGGGTTTGTGCTATATTGAAAAAATTGTGTCATTGTGCACCATTAAGTCTTTATCAGTCACATTCACACATATATGATTTAAAGTGGAATGTCAACTACTTCAATTAGTAGAAAAAAAAACATGGAAAGAAATATAGTTATGAACATCAAATAAGTTAAAACTGACTGCAGATATAAAATAGAAGTTCATGATCCAATAAAAATCAAGTACGAGGTGAAAGGATGTATTTGTAGTTTTTTTTGTTCAAAACAATATTTCACCACAAAATTTTGGGCATTTCACACATAAGAAACAATACAAACACTAAATGAAATTTAATGAATTTTGTCATGTAGAAACTAGACACTATTTAGGAAGTTTGTACTGAGCTTCATGCACATTGAATTAGTGTTATCATGGTGAGAACTAGAATAACAGGAAATATCACTAGTACCTCCTGTCTGGAAGAAGAAGAAGTAGGAAAAAAAAAGAGAGGAGTGGTATGTAGTATTAGAACAAGTCTAGAGAAATAAGATTCCAATGGATCATACATTTTTAATGTGGCAATTCATTTTAATACTTACTAAAATAACATAAAAAATAAAAATATTTTACTGGCAAAATGTACATGTGAACATAGTAATGAATAATGTACAAATCTTCTTACAAAATATTGAGCATTTTCATATAGAAGGTATCTGAAAAATTAATATGCTAAAAATTCATATCCCCTACAACATGACCAACTTACACTCAAGATCAATCTGCGATTCTTGAAGAAAGTTGAAGTTTCCTTGTTCGGCAAGAACTTCTTGGATAGGTTTAGTGCCTGAAGTGGGAGCTACTGTCTCTGCTGGATACACAGCCCTGTCAACATGGCCTGATGCATCACCAGTTTCTCTAACTTGTTGTGTATGTTCAAGCTGGACCTAAAATGAGATTTCTGATATGGAGAAGTGTGTGTATGTACATTAAACAAATTCAATCTGTTACTAAATGAATCACAACAGCAAAGTAATGCACACTTTGACAATGAGGTTTGTTTTCTTTATTTTATGAGGCTTGATTTCTTTCATAATGATTTACCTGTATATTCTAGGCTTTAGTTTAAGTTTAACTCCTTAAACCTGAGCAGACGCTAACATTATCTGTCCAAAAATCCCGATTTACCCATCAGATGGTGACAGCTTCTGACAGCATTTGTTTCTTTGACTGAAAGCTAATCATAACCAGGTTATTATCCACTGAAACATTTGCAACATTTTGAAGCATCTTACGCTATTTTCAAATGATTCAAGAAATGAGAAATATAATCTTATAATATTCCATGTATTACATACATACATGCAATATGAAGAAAAGCTGTGCACATTTAGTGAATGCATAAGAGAAGTTGCACAACGATGCTTGACCAAGAAAGGAAATGTATGTTAAGTATAAACTAAGGTGCATGCCAGGCAGTATTGAGAATGAAGTGTTTACTTTATCTACATAAACAGATACAGAAAAAAAGCTATGAGAAAGTTTATTTTAACTTTGTAAAAGACTGAAAATGAATTCCATAAAAGGAAATCAGTCTCTTGGCAGAACTTTAATCAGAAGAGAACGAGGAGAAATACATGCAAAAAGGCTGCCAATTTACAATCTTCAATCCTAACCAATTATTGAATTAGTTTTGGTTTTAGTTCTAAGAACTAATACGAGTTAACAAAATTCATCCAATTAAGTGGAAGATCTATTTGCGAGTTGGATGTGTACACTACTTGAAGAGCCACATGAATACTAAAGAAATTGGCATAAAAACCCATGTTTTTGGTTTAGAAGTCAGTCTCCTGACTCATATCAAGAAGCCATCAAACTTATTGCTGAAGGGTCCAACTGTGCCAAAGCCTAGAATATTGCCAAAACTGTCTGTACTACAAGATATCAAATTTTTCCTGCTCAAGCTCCATGTAAGTAACTACTGCTATTTCTCTCAGTCAAATAATGTAGTTAGGAATTGGATGTAAGGTATTTAGTATTAGTTTAGTTATGTACGAGCATATTTCACTTAATGTGTTATTTGATAACTTACTGGTTATCCTAAAAAATGTAATAAATATTACTGAAAGTTTAATTGAGAGACAGTTATCTGCTCAGACTGATGAATTAAGTAATTTTAACAGTGAAGCTTTTCAAAATACTCGATGTAACTGAGTGCCTTAACATACTCAATTAAAGTATTGTTTGTGTCTTGAACCTCAGTCTCCCGAGTCAATTCTTTATTCTAACTGTAAATTTCCTCAAGTTAGTGAATTGTGTACTCCACTCGTGACTGTAAACCTGGATTTTAAATAAATCTATTGATAACTGGATTTAAGTCAAATTCCAAATGTCTAGCCTATGTGGTGTCCACGTTACACCACAAAAATTAAGAAAATTGAAATTCTATAAGGTATGGTGATAATTATTAGGAAATCATGAAAATTATCCTAGCAGAATGTGCAAAAAATTACAGGTTTAAGAGTTTATCATATGATTTTGAATGGACATTTTATATTTTTAATACTTTAGAAATAAATTTACAATTGCTTCTCACTCTTGAGAGCGAAGCTTAACTAGACAGCTACTTTGGACTATTTAAAAGTTACAAATAATGTCAAGGTTACCTCATGTGAGCTGGAATAAAGAACAGAAAAGTTCAATTTATTATAGACATCCAGACAAATGCTTCTGTGAAAGATTTTGTGAATTTTGCACACAAAGCTATGTGAGAGCCATATGCACTTGCTGTCCCTAATTTTGAATTGATCCTTACAATCCAGAAATATTACTGGAATAGATTCCGGTTTTACCTACCTGACAGTTTTCCCCCGGAACAATTTCTGTTCTCAGTTCTGCTTGTGTGTAATTATCTCCCATGCTAGTTTCAGCTTCACCAGACTCGTAATCTACAGGTTTTACATTTTCACAAGCCTCCTCAGGTTCTCCTGGGGCATCTTTGGGTGTGTCATCAAAGTACCCTGACTCGTGGATTTTTGATAAGAGTTCTTTTAAGTTTTTGTCTATGCAAATTGTTATGAAAATGTTTTTTCTCAAAATTCTTACTAAGAGAAATATAAAAAAAAATACTACTTTATATATATATATATATATATAAGTATATATATATATAAGCAGCAGTCTACTTAAGTTGTGACTTACTGTAAATTTAGTTAAGTGTGACCATTTCATGAACTGTCGACAAAACAAAGTTAACCCCCAAATTGCAGGCTTGTTTTTGTACCAATCACTGTTGAAGAGGTCACATACTGAGTAACGTTATGATTTTTTCCTATTTCAGCACTCGAGGTCAAGAACTAACGAAAAATATTGCATGAAATAATTAATTTTCTATGTAAAATGAACAGGGGACTCTACC